GATACGTGGGCGAAGGCTCGTGACGATTTACTAGAAGCTGGAAATTCGCAAAACCTTCAGTTAGTTGATGGCGCTCTCTTCACTTTATGTTTGGATGATTTGAAATCGCAGGAACCTCTAAGGTAATTGCACTTTATTAAAAACAGCTGTATGCTTTCGCATGTTAGTGTCAAACGTGGTACCTTTTTGAATGATTTTATACATTGGTAGAGTTCAGACTGGTTAAATCTCTCCTCATTGGTGACGATGCAAGCAACCGTTGGTTTCGACAAAAGTTTCCAGCTCATAATGGATGGTGAGTTCTTCTTTAACTCAACGTTGTAGTTCTTGTCTACTTCAAAGTTAAAATATGTTGCCAAATGTCGGCGTAAAATCGTCTGCTTTGCTTCCTATCTCCTTTCTTTGCTCATCTTGACTAGTTGCTATTGTGAAAGAAATTGATTTCTAGTCCGCTCATCATCGGATAACCTCATTTTTTCTGAAATCGAGTGCATTTTACAGGAAACGGTCAAGCCACAATAAACTTCGAGCATTCTTGGGGCGATGGGGTGGCGGTGCTCAGACTTATGGAGGAGTCATATAAGTCAGTATCCAATTTTATTCTTCGTTTTGTATTACATTTCTACCGTGATTACAACAACTTAATTGCTTAAGAGATACTAATACCCATCATTTTGTTGCACCGGACACGGAACCACACTCCGCCAATCCCTCTATGGTGAGAGAAGTGGGTGAGTACCTTTTCTTGAATTTTTCCTTTGGAAAATTAAATTTCACTAGTCCACCTCAGTCAGCTTATCCTGGCGTGCTTGGTGGTCGTGATTTATTTCGACAAATAGTGGCCTGTAGAAGCTCATCTTTCTGTTCCGTGATTTTCGTCTCTTTGCATTGCTCGTTTCTCAATTATTGTGTTCATTCTTGCAATGACCCCGCTGAACAGTAGTATGGCTTCACTCTTGAATTCCTCAATGAAGGAGCATTGAATGCGGATTAAATCTTGTCAAGGCGAATTAGTAACATGATCCTTCTGCAGAAGTGCTTTCCAGAGTTCCACCTCACTGATTCGCTGAGGTCACAAATAATCGAAGCGCAGAAGGCCCATGTAGCCCGGAATTGCGGTCTCGATTTTGCTACCATGGAGTACGACGGCATGACGAAAGATACCATCAAAAAATCGAAAATGTCTCCTGATTCTATTATGCAATTAGCGATTCAGGTGAGCGAAGAACATTCAAGAATAAGGACCTATATGAAACCTCGGTCATATGCGTTACGCTTTAGATGGCATTTTACTCGATGTATAAAGAAATGGTTCCTACATACGAATCTTGCTCCACAGCTGCTTTTCTTAAAGGACGAACGGACTGCATGCGGTTGGTTACACTTTTCTCTTTGTTTTTTGTCTATTTTACACTTTGCCTTCAATAGTCATCTCTATTTCCCTGATTGATTTTCCGTTACTCCTTCTAGTTTTTACTAACGACTTTTCTGAACGCAAGGTATGAAAATGCGTTTATGTTCAAGTTGAGTCTCCAGTAGGTCCGCTGCTTTAGCATATCCTAAGGAGCCTCAGGTTGTATGGGAACGATAAAATTGACTAATGCAGTGGCAAAGGCCGCAGCCAGCAATTTTGATGTTTTGTGACATTCAAGCGACGTCCTTTCGACATGTGATGTGAATTGTTACAACGTAGCAGTATTTATTCGGAATGGTACTTTTGCTTTTCTCTCTCCTAGGCTGTACGCGTGCCTATACTGTTTTGTTTTTCTTTTCCACGAATAGTCGTCCGATCAGTGTTTCTACATTCATATTGTAATGCATTTGCTGAAATCCTAATATTAATCTTTTTTTGGGCATTTGGACGTCATGCCTCAATTTTGACGGCTTTTGTGAAGTGGCAAGATTCTGACAGCGATTTGAAAACAGCAATTTCCCCGAGTAACACTCCCGCATTCCTTGTTGGGACCTTAATCTCACCCTTGCTGGCGTACATGTTGCTTTTCTGGTTTACTAGTGGTCATTTTCTGCTTTACACTATTCTTTCAACCTTCTTTTTGCTATATCTGTGGGATTTCTGTCCATTATTCTTGGCTGTTCAGTTCTGCAACTGCCGCTACAAAAGAGGCCACTCTTGCCATCCTCGAGGATGGTGCCAAAAATGCCAAACAACTACTGATCAACTGTTCAAATACCCACGGACAGTTGGTAAAGGAAGCATCGATGGGTGAGGATTGTGTTATGATCGGAATTTCGTACCATTATATTTAGTTTTTATCCACACTTGTCTATCCCAATTGCGTTTGCTAGTCAACAGAGCAGGTTATTGGCTCGGAAAGTTGTCCTAAGATTTGATTTTCCCAATCTTTCCTGCTTTTGTGAATGCAGGAGTGCTGTCGCGATTTACGTTTTGAGCCTGTTTGTCAAATTCCGAATTTTCCATAGCAAACCTGACCCTACCCTTCTTACTGAGTCGTTTATTGGTAGTAAAACCGTCAGTGAAGTTAAAACGTTGATTGAAAGCGGCTGTTTTTCTACTCTTTTCTCTTTCCCTAGACTGCTTCAATCTTTTTTTTTGTGAATGAGATGATTTTTTCATCACACAGTAGGTTTGCTACTTCCCTGGGTTCTACTGCGAATTCTTGGTGTGTGCGACTTGCTCCTCATTCATGCAAGTTTTTTCGAGGTAATGTGTTTGGTTTTCCAGGTCAAGCTTTTGATCGTCATCTTCTAGGGCTTAAAAATTAGCGCCGAGCGCAAAGGAATGAAGACCCCAGCATTGTTCGAGGTTTGCAGAATGAACTTCAAAAATTTCAAACCTTTTATTTTTTTCTTATCATAATTGCTACTTCCTCAGGATCCGGGATTTCTTCGCATGGGTCACTTTGTGCTCTCAACTAGCACTCTTTCAACTAATACTATTGTGTTCGGAGGTACGTTACTTCTCGCGTTATTTCTCCGCTATGTTTGCACACTGTTGCATGTCTTATCTCATGATACAGGGTTCGGCCCCGTGGTAGACGACGGTTTCGGTATCGGGTACAACGTATCTTCGTCCCGCATGGGAGCCGTTATCTCCAGTCACAAGGTACTTTCCGTAATTCAAGTTCTTTCCATTGGCGAGCTCTACTGATTCATGTCTTCCTCATTGGCGCTTTTTTCAGAAAAATCGAGACGCCAACGAATTCAGCCGAGCTTTAGTGAAAAGTTTAGATATTTTGCGAAGTATTATGAACAAGTCATAAGATTTTCATAGGTGCATTTAATCTAGATAAAGCGCTTTGGAATATTCTGTGAATTCTTCATTCGTATGATCTACTAAGTCGGCACTCTGTCAGTTTTATTGTTCACTTTCCATTTTGTGATGATTGCTGTGCTACAAGTTTAGGCCTGCTTTCTCATTTTACTAATGGCAGCTTTGTTTTTTTAGGGATTGTTTTATCTTGATAACAACTAACATTTTGTCTATCCTACTTTGAAGGCCTATTTCATCGGGTTAACTTATTGATTTAAATTGTACAGCAAAATCGTTTTTTTACTAATGAATTTTCTTTCTGAAATATACTTTTCTCTGGAAAAGGTGGCGTTGGCGCGCATGGTGTTCTCGTTTTTTTTCTCCATTTCTCCTCTCCGCAGTAATTTCTGTTACCTACAGATATCAAGTCATTCTAGACAGAGTGTCATGTTCGTGTCGAGATAGCAGAGCCGGTGTTTCAGTCGTGACCGTTTTCTCATTTTCCATTATTCCCTATATCCCCGTAAATGCCTAATGTTTCGGGCAAACTCTAACCTCCTTTCTATCTAGAGCTTCGGTCATTGCTGCAATTATAATCGTTGCTTTTCTGCAATTCGGAATTTTTCCTAGTAACCACAAAAACTCACTAAAACGTCGTTGAACTAAAAATGGGTGCTAACTTAGTTGGGGGGGGGGCCACGCGGCGGCGCGGCAGTCTGCTCACCTGGGCTCTCTCGAGCGAGACAGTGTAAACTCGAACATTCCAGCTTTTCACGCATGTCAAGTGACTGCCCCCACCCCCACCCCCTAGACTGGCTACACTCCCCCTGGCCCACGGATTTCCGAACATGCCAGGCGAGCAGACTGCCGCGCCGCCGCGTGGCCCCCCCCAACTAAGTTAGCACCAAATTGCTTATAAGGAAGTTCAGGCAAGTACAACAGCGTACTTATTCAGTACTTGAGTGAAAAGCGCGCGTTCAACGTTTACTGTTGCGTTTGTGCTGTGTGCTTGCTTATTTACTTACTTTGGAGTGGAAAAAACCCTAATCTCTCGTGAGAGGCGGTAAGAGGTTTTTTTTTGTTGAGGAGCACTGATGAGTCTGGAGTTTCCAGTTTTTTTTTTCGTCCATTCAAAGAATTCGTGAAAGGTTTTCGTTGGGTGGTGGTATAGTCGCCCACAATTTTGGTTATTTCCGTAGATAATCACTTTCACGATATTTACTCTGATTGATTAAGATGGGAGAGCAGACAACTAATCGCCCTGAAATGGTGGAGGCCGCCAAGAAGTTCATGCTCACACCGAAAGTCCGAGACACTCCTTTTGAGGAGCAGCGCGTGTTTCTTCTTGGAAAAGGTTTACCAGTGTAAAATTTTTTTTTATTTCATAAAGTCATTTCGGAAATGTCAGGTGTGACCGGAATCTGAAATCGAAGCAGCTCGAGCATCGATTCCCCATGAGCTTGGATCTCATAATGGAAACGTTGCACACTATTCCTCACCTGGCGCTGCGCATCCTCAAACAAATAGGTGAGTTTCATGAATAGGACATTCACGCAAGTTTCAAGGTTGCGCAACTGCAGTAAACAGTTCACTTCTTAAATATTTGATTCTAGACTACTCTCGTTTGCGCAATCAGTGGCAGTTATCGGCTGTGTATCATATGCTGGCTACCGGTTCCTGCGATCCTTTGTTTTGCCTCGCTTCTTCGACATTCCTGATCCCGCCACCGAAGATGTTCGACACACTATCAGTTAGTTTCTTTTTGCAAAGTAGGCGATGCGTTTTAGTGGTACGTCACTGAGTTTAATCCGTTCCCCCCCGCCCCCGGGTTGGGCCATTTCAGCGCTTGACAAGAGTGCAGGCAGCTCATCTGGAGTTTGCTGCATCTATGTACTTGTCAGCAAAATAGGGAGCTTATGAAGGGTTCAACGGCGAGTTTTTTAAGATGATCTTCTCAGATTTTTGAACTGGTCGAATTAGATTTCAACACTATGGAACCGGGCGGAAGTGGTGTAGTTGCAAGTGGCACGCTTACAACGCGAGCGCCCGGGGATGTCAAATCCTGGGTCGATTGTGAGTCGCCCGGGCCAACCAAGCCTTCCATCCCTCCGGGCCCTCCGGGTCGGTTAATTGGTACCAGACTTGTCTGGGAGGATAAAAAACACTGACTTGTACATCGGCTGGCCCCCGCAAGTCATTGTATAGGCCACATCGCATTCAAACGCCACTACGAATGTACAAATCTTTATCTCTTACTTCCTATTATGTATGCTATTAGCATGAACAGAAATGTTATATATGCAAAATAGAAGTGAAGCAATAAACATACAAGTGGGAAGTATAGATGCGTTGCCGCCATCTCAAAAGGGATTTGATCACATCGGCAAATGCTTTAATCCTTATCCTTATATCCTTCCATGAACGCAGAAACATGGAAATGGGCAGTTTAAACGCGTGAATTAGTTTTGATTGGTAACTAAGGGACCAGACCAATTGAAATCAGTTTCTCCTCCACTCCCATGATGCCCTATACCGAGCACGCGACGACGATGACCTGACCTATCGCGTTCTCAACCTACCCATCGCTTCCTTTCTGAATTTCTCTGTATTTATCTTTCCCATTATCTTAAAGGAAGCGTCACGCTGGCTTCCACGCTGGATTTGCTACCCTCGCGTTATCAATCGATAAGGTGTGAGGCAGTAATTGTTGGACGAGTGTAAGCCCATGGAAGATATGATACGATGAGATAAGAAGGTGCGGCTGCTTGATAAGAGGTGCACTCCAGAATGAAAACGGGACGATAACGATAACGGTATCATATCTAGCACGCTCTTATCGCACCCCTTTCCACATCGATAAGTCTTGGTTTTGCTGAACGGAAGTGGATTTCGGCGCCTTATCACTCCGTTGATAAGGGCCACTGCCACTGAAACTTTACGTGTTCTAACATTGGGCAGGACCTCTATCCACTCCAATACATAGCTTTCCTTATCGTGCCTATGAAGAATTATCGTGACCACTTCCTTTAAAGAGTTAAATATCGCTAGCACGGGCTCAAAATTTAGAGAGGTTCATGATGCTGAAAAAATTCAGGTACAAGTCAATGAGTTACAAAATTCCATCAAGTTTGTGTTGGATAGTATCTCACAAACGACAACAATGCTTGCCGGCCAGCAAGCAAGAAATCAATCGAGCGCTGCTTTCGGTAACTCATCGTGACGCTGATGTCAGTCGAGTTGAGGTGCTGCCATCTCGTACTTTCCTCCATAGTGATATCAATATGTTGTAGTACTCTCACCCAATAACAGCTGTTTTCAGGAGGTATATCAACGATAAAAAGCTTGTTGGCTGAGTCACAACAATTTTGCTCCCATCATTGCTCCCACAGCCAAGACAGCACAGCTCCCAAGTTGGCAACGGCAGCAGGCAAGAGTTCCTGTCTCTGGAAACTTCTGAACTTTTTCAATTTGCGTCATTTTAGGCTGAGTCGTCGTCTCCTGCTTCAGCTGTGAACTCCGGCTATACAACAC